AAATTGAATTATATTTCCTTAAGTTTATGAAAATACTTTAATTGTTTTTTTAGAAAAATAATTAATTAATTTTTATTTTAATTTTTTATAATTTAAATTTTATTTTAACTTTTGCAATCACTGGTTTAACATTTGCAATAAAATGTTTTTACTTTTAAAACTATTTTCAAGAAACAAAATATATAATTAACTATTTAAAACATTCAAAATTTAAATAAAACTTTCTTCGTCACTTTTTTTATTTATTTATTTTTATTTTAATTCACCTCCTCAAGGCCGAGAAGGCCACTACAGACAAGGAGGCTACTTATTTGTGGTAACAACCCTCTCTCAACTCTATAACTCCAAAACACGAACCTTGACAAACGAGGCCGCTGCGCGGAGAAACAAGTTGAGCGCGGTACTACCAGGGACGTGGTGAGAATCCAACTCGGAACCACTCGTTTATGAAGCGAGCGCTCTACCACTACACCACTACCGCATTATAATTACTTTATATTACTTGCACTATGTTCTAAATCTGATATTGTTACTGTGGCTAGATTTTTATCTTTCAATGATGATTCTCGTTGTGCTGGATATTATGGATGCCACTGAATTAAATTTATAATTATTGAGGCTTGAAATTCTTTTAAATTTTTCCAATTTTATTTTCAATTTCAAATTTCAACCGCAAAATTAATTGAATAAGAGAATATTAGAAGACTAAAATTCTTTTGTTCAAATAAATTTCTTTTTAAATAAAATTCCTAAAAACAACTTGCGTTTTTATAGTAAATGTTTGATCTTGATATCGCTTAAAATAAAATTTAATATTATGGTAAAGCATTTTTTATTTTCTAGTCGAGATTTTTTGTTAAATTAATTTTTAGTTAGAAGCTTTTATTATGTGTTAACATCATATAAGATACAAATAGAAACATTTAGATGGCTAATTTTTGCGAGTCTTTGAGTATATTAAGTAAATTTAATAGTTGAGTAACTGTAAGTTACTTCAGTAACTTGACTGGTTGTTTTGATTTAGTTTAAAGGTAAATTTACTATGATGTACTTTACCCATTCAGTAAACCAAACTAAATATATCTTCAAAATAATATCGGTTTGCACGCAGAGATTTAAAGTAATTTAAACTCAAAACCGCTTTATGTTTAATAAAATCTCAGCGCAAGAGAGCAAAAATTATATTTCAATTCAAAAGATACAAAAAACTTAGACAAAAACCTTTGGCCAAAAAAAGCTAAATTAGAAAAGAATAAAAATTAAAAAAAAAGGAAAAATAATTTTTTAAAGAAAAAACTAATCGTGAAGATGTGAAAAACACCTTCATGATACACTTAATCTGAGCCCTGTCCTGGCTTTTTTTTTTCTTCTGCGGCAGCAATTTCTGAAGTAGCAGGACTATCTTTTTAAACTTTTTCTTTATATAAAGTTTCAAACCATAAATTTTTTCAGACCATTCGCAGCTTTTTATTAACATAAGTATTTCTATCATGACATATGCGCAACAAATTTTTATTGGTGTTTTGATGTTTTTAAAAATATTAAGCTTTTTTTAAAAATTCTCTTTCCTTTTGTTTGTTATAATCTCTATTTAAGTTAAAAAAAAAACAAAAAAAACAACTGTGCTAGTGGTAGGATTTGAAACACAGGACTTTGCATTAAAAACTCTACCAACTAACCACTTCTACCAGCCACTAAGGTGTATCGATTGTGAATGGTTTTAAACCTATGTAATAAACAAAAAAAACTTTATAAAATGATAAATAAACTCTATAAATCAAAATTAAGATGTTGCTATGAGGCAGTTTTCAAGTAAAAGTAAAAATGTGAAACTTGATACATGTTTTAATATGTTTTAACATTACATAATTTGAAACTAGTTTAAATATTAAAAACAAAAACTATTACACTATTTTCAACGCTTAATGATCTCAAACTTTTTAGATAATTAACAATTTAAGTTAAAATAAATAGTAAAAATAAAACTATTTTGCTTATATTGTTATGACCGCTATATTTATTACTTGACCTTTAAAAAAAATGAAGATTACTTGTTATGTTTACAATATAAGAAAACTATAATTAAACATTTGCACAAAGACTGACAACAAATTTATTTTTAGTTTTTCTAATCTAAAATAAACAAAGTAAATAATCACAACACACTTTGCAGCCATAAAATTGCAACACACTTTGCAGCCATCAAATTGCAATACACGTTGCAGCCAGAAAATCACACCCTGCAGTCACAAAATAATCAAGTTCATATTGAGGGTGAAGCATCTATGACTTGAACTTCATCTACCAGTGGTTCATTAAAATTACTACTTGTACACCTTTTTAACAGTATTGGTCCAGGATGCTTAACCACAAGGGTAAAATGCATCTAGTTAACATTGATACAAAATATTAGTGCAAGGGATTGCAAAGAGAAAATGAGAACTCATCAATTATGGTTATAATATAATTGCAACTAGTTTCTGAACGAATAGGTCCTTTAAAATCTAGGTTCAAATGTTCCAATGGTTGTGCCATCTTTATCAAAATGGATTTTAGTGGTTTGTAGTATCTTGGCTTTAGTTGTTAGTTTAACATCATCATCATCAAAGGTAAATAACAATTTTTAATAAATGCATAAAATTTAGTAACTCCAGGATGACAGATTGATGAAGCTAAATTAAGTTGTCAGTACTAATGGATAAGCAATGTATTCTAGAATAATTTTCAGTTGGAATATTTAATTTCCCTACTCTGTAAACAACGTCATAACTGTAACACAATAATTCAAATTTTCATTGATAAATTTAATTATTTTTTATTTGATGCTTATCAGTAATAAGTCTATAATGGGATCCAATAAGGTAGTGCCTACAATGTCTGACTGCTTCTATTATTGTGCATGTTTCTTTTTCAATCTTGAATAACTAACAGGTCAACCATTCTGATTAAAAACTACAGCTATAGCAATGTCATATGGAACAGTTTCTACTTCGAACAGAATATTTGCAACTAATTTATAATAATTGTTGATTTAGTCAAACCTGAATTGAAGGCTGCAAATTTCTATAAATTAGTTCAGGGTATTTCTATAATAATTGTTGATTTAGTCAAACCTGAATTGAAGGCTGCAAATTTCTATAAAGTAGTTCAGGGTATTTCTATAAATTAGTTCAGGATAGTCAAGTAAGTGAAGGATTGTATGAGTTCAAAGGTTGATCAACAAGATTTATATTAGGAATTCAAAGTTATAGCTTTTAAAAAACATTTAATTTAAACATATTGTACTGCTTTTTAGTAATCACTGTTTGATGCCTTGCAAATTTATCCCAGTTATAAATGGATCTGTAATACAATCATCATGATTGCTAAATTGTGATGACTATATTTACATGTGATTTTACATGTGGTTAGGATAAAATATTATTTACTTGTTTACTCTAACTGATGCAAGAAAAGAACCAAAAGAAGAAGAGAACCAAAAGAAGAAGAGGAGAGCCAAAAAAAAGAAGAGAACCAAAAGAAGAAGAAAAAGAGAACCAAAAGAAGAAAAAAAAGAAAAGAGCCCAAAGAAAAAGAAGAAGAAAAACAACTCTAAAAAACTAAAGTAATATTTAACCATACTTTTTAAAAATATATTCAAATCTTACACTTTCAAAATTACTCTTTAGAGGTATTTATCATATTTTACAATATTTGATCTTAAAATAGAGTGGCCATTTTTAGCCAACTTTGACCATAGCAAATTTTATTATACTCTAGACTTATGTCTAGACTGTTAAAAAGTGATTAGATGCATTTATGTTAAGTCACTCTTTTGAGTGTAACTACTTGGGTGTAACTCTTCTAAGTGCAACAAACTTTTCAAGATTGACACAAAAGCACTTTTTGAAGTTAAACTCCCCTATTTTATAGCAATGAGTTACATTTTATGATCACTTCATATGCTTTTTTCATATGCTTTTTAAGAGCTTGTAAATACTCATCAAAACCTTCCCGTAATTAATTAATAATTTTCTTTTAGTCAACTTATTTTGCTTTCTACATGTCCCTTCCTTGCAATTAGCTATTTGTCTATCTGCCTTTGCCCATGCTTTTGCATACTCCATTTGCTGGAATTCTTTTATTTAAAGACCTTTAATGCTGATAAACATCAATGATGATGCATTTTTTACTGACAATATGCTTTATAAATCTGTACAGATGATATTCACAATTGAAAACCCCCTATCAGATTCTGCATTGCTTACAGGTATGGTCATTGATGATGAATACAGACTTTTAATCTTGAAAATTTGAGTTGCTCTGATGCTTGGAAAATATGATGACAAAAAGCGGATACATGTTGTTGATAATTAAAATGATCCTTGTCATTTTAATTATCAACAACAAGTCACAAAACTCATGTTTTGTTAAAGAAAAATCATTACGCAGAAAATTGCATAATCCCTTTAGCAGAGTTTCTGAAAATATTTGGTAAATTTGTATTTTATTTTGATTATTTCTTGGACATGAATTTGTAACCCCCTCAATTGGAGAAGGTTCAAATTTTACATGGTCATAATTTTTAAATGCTAAAAGATTATTGTTGCTAATTTAAAGTTTATTAATGAATATTAATTCAGTTAAAAATAGTAAAAAAAAAAATTTTTTAATAACTTGTTGCTCTTGCTTGAGGCAGAGGCTTTGTAAATTTTAGGACTTTTTTGTTCCCTCTAATCATCACAATTTTTTGCAAAGCATCCTTATTTGAAATATGGATTTGACATTTGACATATGGAAATATGGAGTTTTACATACTTACTTTAACCCCTGTATATGATGGATTATAATAACTAACTATATTTTAATGTGTGTATCGAGTGTAAGTAATCTATAAGTTTTTTGTCGCAATCTATACTTTATAATTTTTTCACTATACACTTGATTTTCTATACATTTTTAAAATACATTTATTTTTTATAAATAGTAATTTAAAATATATGTAAAAAAACAACTCATACCTCATCAGCATAATAAAACTTGGCGATTCTTCTTTGATGATCGTAAGGCTGAAAAATACAAAACGCTATATATTGAATTTAAAATCGAAGTTATTTATCTTAGCTATTAGAGTTAATAATAATTATGTTAAACAAATGTCCTAAGCATATTAGTTTTTTAGATTTTAAATCAAAAAATTAATGAACTTATTGGTTTTAATTTTAAACTTTTAAAAAAGAATATTTCTTTTTAAATAATAATATATTTTGATTCCCCTGCATTGATAACTCAATCTTATGTATATATTATTAAAAAAAAAAAAAAGTTTTATAATTTATTTTTTAAGAAAAATGGGCCTTCAGGAACTGTTAACCAAGTTATTACTAATTTTAGACTTATGTAACAAATAAACAGCTGAAAACACTTGCTCTGATTTAACAATTGCTGGGGGAATTCAAGGGGGAATTGCTGGGGGAATTCAAGGAGGAATTCCTGGGGGAATTAAGAGTATTAAATAACAGCTTAAGATTCACAATTCTTTTGTTACTTCAGAGAATAACATTTTTCGATATTTATTTCAAAATAAATGTAATTTTGAAGTAAACTTGGAGAAATGTAAGCAAGAAAAATTCCACTTTGATGTTTGATATTGAGAAACCACTGAGAGAAATATCTGTTTAGATAAGCATATGCTTACTAGTTACATATCTTTAAATATACGGCTTTTTTAGAATAATAAAAGATTGCTGCACCATGCCAAACCCTCAGTCAATGCAGCAGCACTCTTTGTGGCAGCAGGCTATAAGATAGTCAATGTATAAACTAAAGCCCCCGGCAACAAGTTATTTCAGTGTGACATCACAGGACTTATACACTAATATTGAGAGAAGTAGGGGGGAGGGCAAACAAACTGTCCCTTTTAAATAAATTTCACATTTTCCCTGTAAATAAAAAATATTCTTTTGCCTCAGAACTAAAAATTATTTTGTACATTTGGCACAGGGTAGTAATCTTTTCTTTCATTATTCACCTTTTTTTTTTCCCTAATTCTGAATATGCCATGTTATAATAATAGGAAAAACTAGTAGTAATTTGTTATTTGTATACACTACTAAAGTATAAGCGGTTTAACTAACTAAAAACAGCCTTTATTATTAATTATATCACAACATAGAATATTTATCACAACACTTTTTTTAAATAGATGCAGAGTTTATAAAGCAACTTGATGTTAAAGTAGGACATAAAAATTTCCTTCCCCTAAGAATTTTTTTTGAATTTCAACCAATAGTACCTGTCAATGTATTGTGAAAAATGGTCTAAAACCTATAATCTGGCAAGTCTAAAAGTTTCACTTTCTGCCTGTAATAAATAAAAATAAAATCTTTGAAATTATTGTTTTTAGCAGAGAACCAAAAGTTTTACAATACAACAGCTGCGCTACATTTTTTATATTAGTATCTGACACAAAATGATGATCAGGATATCTTGTAAATAAAAGTGAAATAGGAAATATTTTGTTTTGCGTAATTTCAGATGATTTTTATGACATTTATTAATAAAGTACTTAATCAAATCAAATCTTTGTCCCACAATTTAAAAAAATTCAATACTTTTCTGATGAGGGTGCAGGATAATATATAATTTTTACTATTTATGTCAGCTTGATCTAGTTTCTAAAAGTAATAAGAAGATAGATGATTTCACAGCAAAAATCAAACTGGGATGATGCAAAGAACAAATGTCATTTCTGTTAAAACAGGACCTTTTATCTCATCAGTAAAAATATCTAAACTTAAAAAAATGTTAGAATGGTATAAACTTAAACTTTGAATAAAATTTGCCTTTTCCAATCCTATTTCAATTTTGTGTATTTTGTTGTTGTTGTTGTTGCTTTTCAAAGATATTTTTTTTTTCTTCAAAAAAACGTACATTTTAATTTCTTAATTTAACAAAGCATTAAAGATACTTAAGTTTCTAAATGATTAAATTCAAGCAGTGACTAAAATGTGCCTATTATCTAAAAATATTATATAAGTATTAAACAATGTTATGCAGAGTAAACTATTGTAAAATAAATAATTTTTATTTTTAATATAGTATAACATAAACTTTTCTATGTAAACTTTCATAAAATAATGGGAAAAATTTGCAAAGTTATGCAAAGTCATATCTTTATTATTCTTTGAGAAATATAAATTATTATTTATATAAAGAGAGTCTAAAATCTCTTCTTTCAGGAAAAAAAATCTTAATTATGCTCTAAGAGACCTATTATATTAAAATAACCTTACGTCTTCTTGCTGAGATTTTCTAAAAATTGGGCAGCTCTGTGACTTAATAAAAACACAACACATGTTAATGGAAAATTTAACTTGAAAATTTTAAAAATTATAAAATTGCAGTCAAAAATTAAAATTATATATTTGGATTCACTACCCGCTACTAAATGGGCAAGTACCAATTTCCAGTCAGTTTTTCCTTAAAGCTAAAAATTATTAATGAAAAGATGCATCAGATGAACCATAGTAGCAGAAATGAGCAAAAATAAAGCATTGTTGAAATTTGAAGAGAATTCTCAATCTTTCTTTCTTATTAACCTCATTTTTTTAAATTTGTCAAATAGGTCTGTTATGTAACAAATTAGTATTCTCTGTAGAAAATTAAAGCTGATTTTGTTTTTAACACAATTTAATGATAAACTTTAGACAAGATATACAAAATAAATGGTTACCGAAACTTGATACTTGACATCGTGGTTTCTGAATTCTTTGCCCCCGATAACAATCGGTACATCTTCACAATTTTGTTTCACATTATTGATATTCAGCTGAAGTATTCTTCTTATTTCAGGATCATTTAAATTTGTAGGTGGCTCATTAGGAGGAAGATCTGGATGGTTGTATATAGAACGAAAACTGAAATAAACAAAAGGTATATATGTTATTATTAAAATCTTTTTTTAATTTTTCAGATTTATATTAATTTATAAAATTATTTATAAATTACTTAAAGATTGGATATGTATTAAAACGTTTTCCTTAATATAATTTAAAATTAAAATAATGTATTTTATTTTATGATAATTTATTAAAACTACACTCTTACCAGATTGTTATGTTTGGTATTGATTTTCTATAGACTTTGTGCATTTTTTAATGAAATAAGGAAAAAAATTAAATGTTTAAAAAATTCAAGCCTCAAGATATCAGTTATGAAAAGTTCCCCAATACGCGCGTAACGTAAAAATTTCAAGCGATTGGTGATTTCACGCGTATTTTACTAAATTTTGAACTCGCATATAAATAAATGAAAATAGGTTTAAAATGTACTTGAAAACTTACTTTAACTACAATTTTAATTATGATGAGATTCCTTTAGACTTTTTCTAAATCACGTTAATTTAAATTTTATTCGTTTAAACATTTGTGAAAAAGTGATTTTAAATTAAATCATAATTAAAAGTGACTTTTAAGTTATAAGTCACTTTCGGTTGTGAACTTTAAAACATTTTTTATTCATTTATTCACATATTCAAATGAATATGTTTTAAACCATTCTTTAAAAGATTTTCAAAATATTGTTTTTGAAAGAAAAGAAAAAAAAAAGATAAAAATAAAGATTTACAAAACGTTTTGAAAAAAGAAAATGAACAAAACAATAGATTAAAAAAAAAAATTAAAGAAAGGAAAAAAAAAAATTATTTAAAAACAATAAGCAACAACAATGAAAAGAAGAAATTTAAATAAAAGAAGTCAAAAGTTGATTTAACAAGAAAAAGAACTGAAAGTTTTTTTAAAAAAGCTTTTTTTTCTCACAAGATAAATAAGATTCCAAATAAAAAAACAAACACTGTAAAAAGTTAAAATTTAAAAAAAAATCACGGTTTTTAGTTACTCTACACGACCGACGCACAGTGGGGCAGAGTAGTTTTAAAACTGGACAAAAGTAATTTTTTTTTTTTTTTTGATTTTTCAGTTAAATAAATATTAAAAGAGCACTTGTTAGATTTAAGAAAAAATACTCCAAAGATTTTTAAACATTTATCTACAATTGTCAGACATTTTTTATTTATATATATATATTTTTATATTTTCTCTTTATCACCCGGTAGTAAATTACAGGTAAAATAATATTTAAATAGTCAAACAATAAATTAAAAATCAGCTAAAACAACACGGCTCTTGTAGTTGTTAGCAATAAATGCTTATAAACAGTCCACATATTATTGGGACAGAGTTCTAAGAACATTCTCCTCCATCAAGATTTTAAACGCTTCTCTCTTTTCTTTCAAATTCCAAAACTGGAACGTTTCTTTCAATATTAGCATAACATTAGTTTGTAGCTCTACGATGGGTTGCGTCAATTTAATTTTTTTGCCATTTAACATGCACTGTATGAAATTTAAATCAAGTGTGTTGCATGCATCAAATACTTCGTTTGTAAAGGATTTTTTATTCTGTGTTTCCTGTATTTCATTAATTATCAGTGAGTAACAAGTTTGATTTTTAAGCAGCCTGATAAAAAGATTAACTTTGTTCCTATGGAGAATAGTTGAGATATCTTCTATTTTAAAAAAAGAATGAAGGTAATTTTTACTGGACTTCGAAATACAAAAAAATGATTTTAAGACTGCTCTTCCAACAGCGGCTATTTTGCTGAGAAAATTAGTATCATATTTACATATTTCAAGACCATATATAAGCTTCAGGACTGTTAATGTATTGTACAGATGAACAATTGTTGATGGCTGGCAGTAACGAATCCCACTGTCAATAAGAGCTTTTGCAACTGATTGAAACTGAGTTATACGCTCATTTAAATTTTTCTTTCGGAGTGTTGCATTTTTATTTTTGCTGGTATCGTTATCCCATTGGAAACCCAGATGTTTTAATTTATTTTGAAGATATAAAGAAACTCCATTAATTTTAACAACGTTGTTAGGAATATAACTTTTTCCAGAAATCAGAAATTCTGTTTTCTCAGTGTTTAGCTTGATAAAGTTTGCTACTCCATATGTTTGCAATCTGTTAATCAGTTCATGCAGACCAGAGATTGTGGGGCTTAGCAAAATTACATCATCTGCGTATGCAATTACACCAGTATAAATTCCATTTATTGTCGATCCTACTTTACATTCTGAGACAATTTTATTTAGAATGCTTTCAGTATAAATGTTGTATAAATGCGGCGATAGTATAGACCCTTGTCGCACCCCTTGTGATAGACTGAATTGATTTGAGGTAACACCTCGATAGGATATGTTTGCAGAACCAGAATGATAAAGGGATGATATTGTGTGTACTACAGACAACGGAAGTTTTTTTTGGAAATACAGCTTCTCTTTTTATTGTATTTTCGAGTAATTTCGAGTAACGTTTTTTAAAAAAAAACCGGTGTGTTATAGAATAGAAAAAGAAAGAAAATCAAAAGCTTCCATGAATAAATAATATTAAAACGTATTCCAATCGATTCACTAATATAAATTACAATAATTCGAATTTAATGTAAAAAGTCACTCAAAAAGTTTCTTAAAAATCGATTATTTTTTTTCGTTTAAAGAGAAAAACGTCATTAGTTCACGCGTTCATGACATGGTATCGCTACCTGGTTTCTACTGATTTTGACACATTTTCACTAATACACACAAAAGGGCTCAATAAGCGCAAAAAAAAAAAAAAAAAAAAAAGTTTTACAATCTCTAATCTGAGGATTAGATTGATTATGAGCACTTTCATAAAAAAAAAAGTTTGAAACTGCATCTAAGTGAGAATATAAACAAAAAGTGCATTGTTTGAAAAAATTAAAACTAAATAATTAAATTAAATTAGAAGATTTTAAATTTTTTTAAAAGACCAATTAATATATATTTTAGGCACTTTAAAATTATTTTTCACTGCTTCTTCTTTTAAACAAAAGAGTTAAGCTAGATTATGGGTTCTACAGGGTTAAAGGTCAGTCCTACCCTAAAAAAAACACACAGACAAAATGAACCAGAGACTCTTTTATACATTACCAGCAAAAAATGTTTCATCATGCTTTTTTTCGTCAAAACGTTTCATACCGTCATTTTCGTCAATTGTCCAGTTTTGAAGCAACGTGTGCAACGTCATGTCTATGTGACTAAAAAAACATTATACTTTTTTAATTGCCATTTGCTAATACTCTTCTTTTTTTACGTTTATTTTTTTATTTTTATGAAAATATTTTACTTTAAATTTTGATAAATTGTTAGTATTCTCCTTTTTTTATATTTGTTTTTATTTTTATGAAAAAAATTTTTTTTTTCATTAATATAGTTACAGGGGTTAAAGTAAGTAAAAATCTATATTTATATGCAGATTTATAGGAAAATTTAAAAAAAAAAAAAAAGAATCTTTAGTCTGGATTATTTTGCTATAAACGTTTATATTTTATGATACCGCAAAATTTATCATTTTAATTTTTTTCGTCTTTTCATAATTTACAGACCTGATCATTTAACGGAAATATGTTGTAGTCGCCAAAATATCATACAGACGATATAATATTTTAATACTGCCTTAACTACACCGAGTACCTAATTTTGTTAACATGATTATTTATTTTTTTGCATCTTTATTTATTTATTTTTTTAAATAATATTTTTATTACGTGTTGCAAAGTTACCTTCTCATAGGGGATACTTTGCACCAAATTTAAACATATAAATAACTATAAATATATATATTTCTAGAGCTACGTAATAGCAATAAATGTGAACATATTTTAAAAAAAACACGATATTTTTTATTTTTGACAAATTTCGTAGTTAGCATACTACATTTTCAAAAAATTACAATTTAAAATATAAAATATAAAATATAAATTTATAAAATAAAAATTTAAAGACATTACAGAGAAATATTTACAGACAAATAGAATTGTTACAAACCAATAAAAATTATAATGATAATTATGATACCGGAAATAGTATGAATAAATAATAGGTAAATAAAAAAAAAAACTAAATTGACTAATTTATATTATAATGAACAGTTTGTTTATTTAAAGATGGGCTTTTCATTTAGTATGGAGTGCTTCTTTAACTTTTAATTTGTTTTTGTTAGGAGCAGTATCCAAAATTTTAAAACAATTGTAGTTACTTATGTTTTTATAATTAACAGATGAAATTAAATGCTTAAAAATATTAGATTGTTTATGACTTGTAAGTTGCTCATGAATCCTTGTTATTAAGTGTCTGGAAGTTTCTCCAATATAAGTGGCATTACATCCAGCACAAGAAAATTTGTAAACAACATTGGATTTAAGCAGCTTAGGAGTAAAGTTTAAATTAATTATAAGAGTACAATATTTTTTAATGATTTTATTAACTTTAGATTCAGTAAAATTTGAATAAAATCCTATAAATCGAGGTTTATGATATCTTATATTAGGGTTATCAATATTATTTATAACAGATGGATTCAACTTTTTATCAACAAATAATTTAACTTCAGTGTCAATTATTTTTGGTGGATATTGGTTATTTTTTAAAACAATTAGTATGTTTTTTATGTCCTTACCAAATCCTAGCCATGTGTTGTTAATTTTTACGTTCTACCAATCAAACAACGTATAAGACTAATTTTATAACAATAGGGAACAAAACTGGAAAATTTTTGTAAAAAAACCGTATATGTTTTTCTTTGTGATAAACTGATGTGGAAAGCAAAACAGACTTTTTGATTTGAACATCTAAAAATCCAATTTGATTATCTTGTTCTTTTTCCATAGTAAATTTTAAGTTTTTATGTTGTTTATTAAGATGTGTGAAAAATTCCTGAGCTTCAAACTCTGAATTAAAAATAGTGATAATATCATCCACATCCAACATTTATCATCCACATCCAACGTTTATAGAAAATTGGTATTGAGGAAGAGCAATTACTAACCCATTTTTTGTTCGTGAAACCCAATAGAAAACGTTAGCTAAAATTGGCGCTAAAGGAGAACCCATGGCAACGCCGTCCAATTTATCATAAAATTTCCCGTTAAATAAGAAATGAGAACCAGATATTGAGATTTGAAGTAATTTTTTGAGCTGAGCTTTAGAAAAATATTATAAACACGTTTCATTTTTAAAGTATAAATCAGTAGCTATATATATATGTATATATATATATATATATATATGTATATATATATATATATATGTATATATATATATACATATATATATATATACATATATATATATATATATATATATATATATATATATATATATATATATATATATATATATATATA